GCTCCTGGCCACGCCCTCTTCCTGTCGCGCTCCGGCCCCGCCCAGCCCCGTCCCTGAGCCCGGGCCGCTCGGCCTACGCCGCGCCCCGGGTCGCGCGCTGTTGCCCTGGTGCGGGTTCGGTGCAAATACCCCGTTGCCTGCCGTGCCCGTGCCAGCTCGCGGCGCACATGCACCTCTCAGTGTCCCAAGCGCTAACTCCAAGGCCACGACTCAGGGACGTTCTCAGCTGTCTAGTTAACGTGCTCGCCCGCGGGGATTCTTGCGGGAGTCTGTGCCTTCTCCGAGGATACCCATGCTACTTGAGTAAGTGACGCCATGGATTAGCCCTGAGGCCACTGTAATAAAGGGACAGCCAACACCTTGGCTCAACCAAGGTGAAAGTTCACGGAGCTTAAAAGAACGTAACTGGGCTGGTTCCATCTGGGTGAATTAGCGGCCCGGGAGCTGAGGCGTGAGTCCCTGGGGGCTGCTAGCAGTAAGAGTGATTTCTAACCGAACACAGTTTGTTAAGGAGCAGAAGATGGCTGAAGTGACACAGGTCTGTGCACCTAAAAGGGATCAAATCGGTGATTAAGAGCTGGGCTCGGAAGCCAGGCTGCAAAGGCTGACTCCTTGGCCCATGAGACAATGATCCCACCTTACAGAATTGTTTCAAAGAGGAGATGCCTTACTCTGAGTGCATGGTAAATATTAGCTGCCATTATTACTAGGTTTGTATTGAAAATATCTTCAATAGAGTTAAGAGGTAGAAGAGAAAAAATGAACAGGAAACGCCAGCCATCAGCCAAGAGGGGATCTGCCCTTGATTGAAAGATGCACTAATGATACAGCAACTAGATATGGTACGATTTCCCTAAACTAGATAGTGTACGATTTCCCTACTTGCCTTAATCGCCATAATACTGTGAGATAGTATCCACATTTCACACGTGCAGAACACCTGCAGAAACATCCAGAATTTGGCCTTAAGGCTGGATGCAGGGATAAAAGCATTTGGAGACCATAAAGAGGAAGTTGAAGATGTTTACACATCCTCTTCATCTCCATTAGACCTCATTCTGGGTCTCCAGAGCAGTTCAATAGTATCATTTCAAAATCCCTCCACAAGGAAAAGCTGCATTATTATTCCTCCATTTCTGCATGCCTGTTTCTCACTTTGCCAGTGGATAAACCAGAACTAAAAGTTCAGCGCGTATTGGTCCTTTTTCAAGTGCAAAACGTCAGTGCAGTGCTTTGGTAGTTTTTTTAATCACTCTGAAGATGCCTTTACCACTGGTTTTCCTTTTTGCTTTCTCTGCCCTGGTTTGATAGTTCAACCCCAGACCCTACGGAGGGATTCCATCTTAACCAGAACTCTGGTTCAACTAGAGAACCATTCAACTAGGCGACTGACACCCCTATCAGCATATTGTTTTTCTTTCTTACACTTCAGTTTTTGCCATGTGTGAGATTGAAGATTTGTATCCTTACACATCCTGAAACTGATTTAGTCTGCAAAATGACCTATTCTTAGAAGCCAATAAAGCTTAGCTGGAAACTGCAGTAATGATAACAAAGATTAATACTGCACTGACTGTGTGGGGCATGGTTTTAAGAGCATGATGTGACTCAAGAATATTACCTGCCTATGAAATGAGCTGAGATGGGTCTAATAATCCAGGTTCAGTGCACCCTGGCACCCTAGTATAAGTGACTAGCACCTTTTGACCCTAAGCAGCTCCTTCAATGAACAAGGCTGCTTTCCTTCCTTCTTCTTTTAAAAAAAAAATTTAAAGAGAGATTTTTGCTATAAAGTGCATTTGCTTGCCGGGGAGACAGAGAGACAGAAAGTGAGAAATTACCCTCCAGGGGAGATGGCCACAGGGCAAACCCTTCTCCATTCTCCTCTCAGGATTTTGGGCATGCACAAGTGCACGCATGCTCAGTGTAAGTTTTTTAGAGATTTTTTTGCTGTAGGGCGTGTGTGCTCACCGGAGAGGCAGAGACAGAAAGTGAGAAATCACCTCCCAGGGGGATGGTCATACCACAATCCCTTCTCTTCCATTTTTCCCCTCGGGATTTTGGGCACACATGCACAAGGGCCTGACGTGAGTTTTAAGCTGTTGGGTCCAGGACTCAAATCATTGTCAACTACGTGGGAGTCCAGCAAAGTAACCATTAAGCCATTTGCTAGTCCCTCCCTTTCTTTCGAATGACCTTAGGAATAGAAATCAGGATAGCTTTTTGTCCATCTCCCCTTCCTTTTATTTTCCACCTTGCATCCTCTGTGCTGGGGTTTCTGTTCCTACCACTTCATTGAAACAGCCGTCAAGATCTGCAGTGTTCTCTCTGTCACCAAATTCAATAGTTACTTCTCCATTTTGCTCTTTCTCTACTTCCCAAACCACTGATCACTCCCTCCTTCTGGAGACTTATTTTTCTCTTGGCATTTTACTGGCTGCCCTCCAACCTTTCTAATCTCTCCTTTCTGTTTCCTTTGCTGGCTTTTCATCCCAAACCACCCTCTAAATATTAGGGTGATCTGTCTCTGTGGTTTTTGTCCTGGGAATCCTTCTGTAACTACACATTCTTCCAGGCAACCTCATTTAGTCTTACACTTCTAAGTATCAAGTATCGCCATGTATAGACCAGTGACTGCCAGACTTAAATCTCCAGCTCCCTCCTCCCCCTGGAACTGCAGACTCATACCCTGACCTGCCTTCTTGATACTGTTTCTTCTGGATAATATTTCTAGATGCCCCAGAAGCATTTCAAACATGGCACTGCCAAAATGCAAGTCTCGAGTCCATATTCCCTCCGTATTATAAACGATGCTGTTCTTTTCCCTGGAACACCACCATCCAGTCACTCTGATAACCCCATCCCAGCACTTGGACGTGGTGGAAGTGGACCTAAAGGTCAAATTCTGA